CCAAAAAAAACGTTATACTCTTCTCACCATAAGCTTTCCACCCGTTGTACCTTGTAAAAATGTACACCTGTAACTCCAGCCGCCACCATGACCGCCAGCAAAGCGACCTCCTTCTTTAAGCCCCGCTTCAACTCTGATTTCAAGTCTTTATCACTTCTTGCTGCACTTGAAAATGTTTTAGAAGATGAATTATTAGATAAGACTGCGCTGGCGGTGGTGCAGCGGCGCAGTAGAGAGCGAGAAGCCATTGCTCGGATGCAAACTATATGGTTTTCGCTGCACTACGATTTTTCTCCGTTGAAAAAAAGTATGTCACTGAAAAATAGTGATACATTTAAGCTTAATTAAATTTTGTATTCTGTACTTGAAAAAATGTTTTTTTAAGTCATATATACTTGAGCAAATTATCATGAAATAACTCAGATTGTGCGCAAGATTTTTAATGCACGTGGGATCATAGTGGCAACAACATAAACATCGAAGGAAAGACGACATGATGATAAACTTCACTCACGCGAAACACGTGAATGAACCTTGGTCCTCGCATCGATTCAGAGGTAAAGTATTGCTTTCGTGTACATTTATTTTTTTGAAAAATAAAAAGATATTTGCAACGACAAGGTTACCGGCGACTTAGTACACCGCCTTATGCATCAAATTAAAGAACTTGACGTATTAAGTAAAACTTATCACATGAGTATTGACTGATTCTTTTTAATGTGACAGAGGGACGAAGACTCGACTCCTTATTATACCTTCGTCAAGGAAAGCCACATTTTACGCTTTAGTCAAAAGCTATTTATCCATATTTCACTATTCACACTCGTATATGATCACATTGAAAAAGATTGCGCTTGAAGAGAAAAAGCCTTATAAGCTGCAATTACGGAGATAGCAAAACGAAATACCACGCGTTACAGATGAGTTGACTTCAATAAAATGAATTTCTAATATGCTGAGCATTCAAGATTGCTTAATTTTTGATTGCTAGACTTTGCAAAATTTTATCGTTAGAAATATATTGCGAGCCGAAGGATCGAATGATACATACAATTTTAGCGCTACTACAAGCAGGATGAAGCTCTTCATCTTAAATCTAAGTTCATAGAAAACGCGAAGAAAATGTATTTGATACAAGACAAGCTTAATTGGGTATTGGTGAAAACTGGAACTGCGAGTCACACTGGTTGGGAACTTACATGCACTTCCTGCTCGCAACACGGGCGGCGATTGGGTTTGAGCCCTCAAAAATGAATGTGTAGCCATCAAGTTCACCACTAAGTTAACTTTCTGTACGGTCAACATGAAATACTTATGCACAGAAATAGAAACATAGCCGAGACATCGTTCTTCAAAATTGTTATCCAGCGTAATCTCAACAAAAATGCAGAATCAATGGTCTCATTTGGTCCGTCCATCTGATCAACAATCCTGGGAAGAAAATGGCCATTAACTGATTTGATACTAAAATAAATGTACTCAATTAAATTTTGACTAAAGCTTTAAAAGTTGTTAATCAAAATTGATACTCAACATTTGAACCCATTGTGCTTGAGAAATAATTTTGTGATAAGAGGTTTATCTTCGTGTCATAGATTTTATTATACATCAATAAATAAGCCGTCATAGTATGATGGCGACAGCGACTCATAAAAATAAGTAAAGCATTAGTTGGTATGCAAATGAAATCGATGATTAAATGATATCGTGAAGATTTGTATACAATGCAATTAAGTCATAAATCGTAACCCCATATTTACAATCAAGTTTCATGATGTCACAGAGTGGAATAAAAGTTATAACAAACAGTCTCGTTTTAGTGAAAATAAACTATCTAATTGATTTAATCCAATGTCTTGAAAACAGCATTCATTTCGCAAAACTGATTTGAAGATCCACGCGTGATTTATTATATAGCTGATGAACATCTATTTTTAAAATAGTAGCTTGTTGCCTTATATAAAAATTAAGAGGGACTTATTACATGCGAGAGAAATCGGAAATAATTGTCTCAAACAGGATTTGAACCGGATAGATTACCTTATTGCATATTTGCGCCATTAATTACATTGCAATTACAATGCATATAAAGCCGCAGACACATGTATATAGCTTAGGTCCCAACCAATGTGACTCGCTATTCCAGTTTTCTCCACCATGCAGTGAACTCTTCTTGAACCTCATTGTCAAAGGATTCCTGCGCGTTACTGTAAACTCAAAAGTTAAGTCAAATGATGTGCTGTTTACTGCTTGCAGAACTACTGCGTTTGTAGTTTTATCTTTCTTGGAGAAGCGCAACTTTTGTATGTATCACTCGCATCTCGTCGCGCAATATTTTCTATCGAAAAACGTTGCCTACATACACTGTATAGATTTGAAAATTATGCCTATCTGACATCACAAAGACATATTATAGCTAAGTGATATGTAACTTAAGATTTTGTTTATATTCTCGGTTTCAAACTTTACTCTTACAAAATGCTCTGAAACATCGTCTCGGAGAGTTTCGATGCTTTTTTTTAATTGTCTGATGTTCATAAATATCATCGTCAAATTTTGAGCCCATTATGCTTGCAAAATGCTATACGATAAGAGGCCTATGTCGATGTCGTAGGTTTCATTCGATAACATTGTATTAGCCGTCTTAGAATAGCAGAATGATGATGACAGCTCAATTTTGTTAAAACATGGTAAGATGATATGATTTGAATGAAAATATGGTACGAATTTGCATAAAAATACCAGAACATGT